TTTGAAATAATTGTTTTTATTACTAATCTGAATTATTAAATTAGAAATAAATTTAAACATCAAATTGTAAATGGCGGCTCTCCGTTAATTGCAGCTAACACTTTCTCGTTTTTTAAGATCGTAATATGAGTACCCTCGACGTAATGTACTTTCACCACATTTTGAGTTACCTTAAATAATTAAACACTTTATTAATAAAAAATTTGGTTAAATATGATTTAAATAAAAATAGATTAACGTAACATTTTTCAAATACCTTCTGCAAACCATAATCCTCTTCGATCATGGATATATGCAAGGGATGTGTAGATTTTAGCAATGTTATAGGAGATTGAATAGGTGGCAACGTAGATGGATCATATTGCCTAATTGCGGATGAATGTTTGTAAACTGTTGTACACAAAGTCTTTAAATTTGCAGGTGAAAGTGACGTATTCGTTGTTAAGAATTGTTTGGCGAAAATATTATATCTCTCTTCCCAGGTATTACATTTCTTTAGTTCCATTAGAATCTACGATAATAATAATACGTTTCATATATATATATATATATGTTTTACTTCAAAATAGGAAACACTTAAAATACAAGAATATAAAATATGACAAAATATTGATACTGATATTTATAAAAAGTATATATATATATATGTATATCATAAATAAATCAATTAATTTCAATACAAGCTCTAAAAAAATTTATACCTTTTCACTATTTCCTGCTGAATAAATTTCCATAATATTAGTTAGAATAACAATCTGAAGATTTACATCATCAGAATCTGATGTAAAATGTTTGTACATTGTTCGTATTTGTTCAGGAGCGCCGTCAATGAGAACTAGTCGACCTTTAAAATTCATAGCTTCCAATCTTCTTGTTAACTCAACTGCAATAATAGATCCGAAGGAGTAACCTACTATTATAAAATCTTTTCCATTTTTCATCTTTGGTAATATATGCTGTAAAAATATTAAATATATTCGATGAAATTTTCTTCTTAAACAAAAATTATTCTCTGTCAATTAATATAATACAAAATTAATAATATTATTAATAATATGAAAATACTAATGCAATTACGTACGTTTATAAGATGATCAATTGTTTCAGATATAATGTTAGAAGAAGCACTAATGTTCATATTACAATGCAAGGACGTTGCTGAAAATTTAATATCTGGTGCTAAATGATTAAATATAGTTCCACATCCATCGAGACCCGGAATAAGAAATACTTCAGTCGTAGTTTTCTGTCTTTTTGTAGAGAAATCAAAACAAATTTGTGATACAAAATCTTCATCTTTTACAACACCAACTAAATATTTTATAACATCTAGCTCTTTTGTGTCTTCAAGTTTCTTTTTGTCATGCATATTATCGTCACTAACATTTCCATCGGACATTTTGATGAGTTTCGCGAAAGTAAGATTTCTTATTTCTTGTGCAGTGAGACAAATATCAAATTCGCGTTCAAAATTTTGCTTAATTTCAATGGCCATCATGGAATCCATTCCAAGTTCGGCCAAAGGAGAATTTTGACTTACAACTTTCATATCTTTTATGTCTATAATGTAAAATAAAATATTATTATCATATAATTAAGTAATAAATATATTAAGAATAATTACAAAAATAATCGTTCGATGCGTCATTTATGTATCAATAATTTTTTCAAACTGTTGTCCGGTTAAAAATTGCAGTTCCACACACGGCTATAATAGTAGAACATATATGCAATTGTCCTAATATAAATTAAATGATACAAGTAAAAACATAAGTAACGCTCAGACGACAGTTTAAAAGAATAATGCACTGTTCAGATAATTAAATTTATGACTATATATGCACACATGCAAAAATAAAAAAAATTATATTACGTAATTACCTAAAATATTAGCAACAGTTTCTACCATACTGCCAAGTCCGCAAGATCCCGCTTTTTTTTCAGCTACGACCATGCTGCTCACAACTGGTTGGCTTTGAATTAAAAATTTATCAAGTTTGTCGAGACAACAGGATATTTTTTGTTGCAGAGTGCCACCGATAATCAATTCTTTATCTTCCTCCTGCATGTCTGCGACGAGACCAACGTCGCCCACAGCTCCCCACTGAATTGCCAATCCAGGTAATCCATCCTCCGCCCTCTTTTCGCATACTCTCTCCATGATGGAGTTGGCCATGCCATAATTAGTTTGTCCGGCATTTCCTCTACCGCAGGAAACGGAAGAGAATACTACGAAATGCCGCAGTTTAGGGCAAATTTTTCTAGTAAGTTTGTCCAATGTTTGAGTTGCTCGAGCCTTCGATTGGAAGGACTCCGCAAAGGTTTCAGCAGTTTGATTTTTCAGGACACTGTCTTTCAATACAACACCAAGATTGAATATCGCGTCCACTGGTCCTTCTTTTTCCGCAGT